CCAGCGTGACCTTTGCGGTGTTTTTCTCCGAGAAAAGCCACCGCTCCCCCGGGCTGGCCCCGCTCCCGCCCGCGAGGTCGCAAGGGCAAAGCAAAACCGCCTTGCCGAAGAGGAGACGGCGAGGGAGAGGGGCTAGCTCCTACACACCCTGCTTGCCACGGCTTCCCGCTGCTGCTCGGGCGCTTGGTTCCCCCCAGCCGCTATCAGGACATTCAGAAATACCGAGGTCAGCACCCGTAGCAGCGTTCACTCCAAGCTCAACACAGTGGGCGAGTCGCATCACCAACAGGAGACGTTTGCACAAAGCCACCCTAACTAAACGTTAAAGGAAGCATTATAAAAATAGTGTTTAAAAAGCATAAAAGAGGGAGTGTTAGAGGGATGAAGTGTTCTCTATACCCTGTTCTGGCAAGTCTTCCCAGACAAGGTTAAAACAAACAAACAGGTTATTTGTTCCTGTCTTTCAGGGAAAGGGCATTTTTAGACGAGCGCTCCAAATGGCTAAAAGTTGCAGACACTCATTAAGGAAAAACAGCCTTTGCTTTCCCAAACACCCAACTCCCCCAAAGCAACTTCCTGGCCTTCATTCTGCTCACTGCCAAAGTCTGTATAATTCTAGGTTAGGTCATAACCTTCAAACTCAGTGTTCTGACAGACCACCATCAACAACTTGACCTCTACTATCCTGTTGCTTCTACCTCATTGGCAACACCACAAAGTTTCCTGAAGCCTGAATCACAGCAAGGTGCAGGTAGAGCGGACCTCTTCCTCCCACGGAAGGTTCATCTCTCCCCACATCCAGCACGATGTCCTGCTTCTCCTCCCAGTTGAAGATAGGTCCCCCTTCCCCTGCCTGCAAGGAATGTGTTGTAAGAGCTATTTAAACATCCTCTGTTTAGGCCCCCATGAAGCAAGGGGTCCCCAAGGCACCCCAGACTAACACCTCCCAAGCCAAAGAACTGCCACTTCATCCAACCTCACTGCTCCTGCAGATCAGGATTGATAGAAATCAGAAGTAGAAACGTCTCAAGGGTGGAGCAGTTGTTACTTGGCCACACAAGCATGGAACCACCAGTTAAATACCGCCCGACTTCAACAAAACGAAGAAAAAATTACCAAAAGCCAAGGAATGAAGCCAAGGAAACTCATGAGGAGATTCAAAAGCTGGTAACAAGACTTTCTTTCTCCCCTCAGAAAATCTGGTTTTGCTCTTAAAGAAAGGAGTAAGTCTTTGAATAAAGAAATGGATGTCCCAAGTCATTGAAAAGCACACCTCCTTTTAACAGCCCTTTTCAACAGTGGGACAGAAGACCTGCCACACAGGAGGGCACAAGAAGGGACATAAAACAGCTTCCCATGTAGGTACCAGCCTCTCTGGGTGTATCAAAGTTGTTACAAGTTCTCCGCAAAGAACAACTCAATCAGTTTAGCAGCCATAGTCTGGATAAAGCTAGAGAATTTATCTCAGAGAACCTTTCCATCAGACAAAGCTCTCATTGCATCCCATTAAACCACTGCAGACTCCTTTTAAAAGCATTCACCATCACTCTCTAAAGTAAGACAGCACAATATAAGCCCTCTGGCACCTAGGAAGGGAGGAGACAGCATGTGACACCTGTACCGAGACAGCCACCTGCACTGCTACTTCAGCAGCCACCTCCCCGGTGTCTTCCCCGAGTGTTTGTAATGCTCCAGGCCACTGCAGGAGAGCAACCTCAGGGCCCAAACGCTACTCTGAAAACAAGTGGAAGTTAATCTACAAGTAATGCTTTAATCCCGATTTGCCTGCTGCCTTCTCAGATTATTTTAAGGAGACTCTTAGCTATTCGGAGCAGGAACCCTCATGGATGCTCCTGTTAGCAGTGAGAAAATACAGCATAAGGGAACCCTGCACTTGCCAGGGGGACCCAAAATGGACAGCCCAGGTATTTGGGGAGGTGCAAGCAGAGCTTGTACATGGAATGTGAGAGGGCTACAGCAGTATTTAGAACAGTTCTGAGGCAAAAGTGTTTGCAGCAGGTTCAGTTGTGCCTAAGATTTTGACCCTCCAGTTCTACATTTGTGCCTACCAGCTAGCCGTTTGGCTGTATGAGGTCTGACTACTGGCCTCTCTAGCGCAGGGTACCCAAAAGCTGAGACTGTGAGACCACCTGGAATAGCTCAGCAATCGATACAAAGCAGGAAGAATATCCATCCAGTGGTTAGAGCAGACAGGATGCTTCATCACACAGCTGTCCTGGCCTATCAGTTCCATATTTCTTGGAGGAAAACTCTATCCTCTAGGAAGGATTGCAGCAGAGAGGAATACTGTTAGCCACAAATATTAGTTACAGATTGGTTTAGTCTTCAGTTGCTCTTGCTGCACCACAGCAGCAACACCTGGCTGCACCAGTGCCACTTGAACATCATCTAAAGAGATAGAGACTGCTTGGGATTGCCATTAAGAACATAGGTGCATGCATCAACCTGTCCTCCAGTCTCCCCACCCACCCTTGTGAGAATTACAGTAGCCTGTAAAGAACTGGCCTTCAGTGAAGGAAATAACACTAGTAAAAAAGCTGAAGGTTGACAACATCCCTCAGGCTAGGGTGATTCTAGGCCATCAGCAGCTTAAGCAGATCTTACAAAGACGACTGACCTTTAACAAATCAATACCCATAAATAACCGAAAACCACAGTGTCAAACAGCTATGCAGAGGTGAGCCAGCACAGCACAGAAAGAAAAGGAAAAGCACGCTGGATTAGTGTTCACTCAAGATCTTCTGCACAACCCAAGGCACCTGGGCGCTGGCAGTTTCTCTCTTTGAGGATTACAGTTTCTGATCAGCTTGACACAGCTGGCAGGTTAGCAGTTCTCACCAAAGTTGGTCTTAGTTGATGTTCACCTGAGCCAGCTCCACTGTACTAGAAATGCAGCAGTTTCCCTCTCAGGAGGACAAGTGTCCAACTTGGGACTGTGACTCCAACAGGACCGGTACACAGAGAAGTGGATCAGCCCCAGCAGTCAGCTAATGACAAATGCTTGTATGCCCACTGGATTGCACCAGAAAAGGACTCTTAATTGTAGGTCAGACTTGTACCATGTCCCATGTCTCTTCCTGACAAGAAGTACTATGAGACAGTATCAAGGTTACTGTGACCAGAGCTTACGCAGGATAGTATTAAGCAAGCCACTGAGGCAGAAAACCCCAGTGCCATGCCTGTATAAGCCCCTAAATACAGCAGTCTTCATCGCAAACGACCAGATGCCAATTTCTTGTATTTCAGAATCCTGATTGTAGCTGGATGTGCTCCAGTTCAGAGGCAGGAAAGCAGCCTGAGGCCTTCCTGCAGCAACAAGCTCCTGCTCTAAGGCTGTGCGTAATAAGGCTTGACTTCAAACTACACTTCACTCATTGATTAAAACCACCACAGTCTTGCTTTCAAAGAGGCCTTGTTGGTAAGGTGATTTTGGATTCAGGCAGTTTCAGTGCACAAAGTTGCCAACTGCAATGGTGTCCTCCCATCTCAGCTTCTCAAGGTCTCTTCTCCAGGCAAAGGCGTCCAAACTGCTGGATATCAGATGACAGTCACCAGAAACTGATGCAATCATCTTCACTGCACACGCCAGGGATGGCCAAGCACAGACACGAAGGAGAAGAATCCAGAAGCTACTTGGATGGCAGGGTGTGTGACTTCATTGGGATACATTCTGTTCACAGGAGGCAGATCCTTCTGTACTCACCCACCAAAATCCACTGGACTCAGCCTGTCCCTTTGCCATCAGAAGTTACTCCATGTGTTACTTCCATGATACAGGAGTCCATCCCTTTAGGGATATGCAGACAGATGGTTTCTTTCTCCCCAAATTTAAAGTTATTAAAAAAAGATACAAAGAACTGCTTTTGGCAGCATAGAGGCATTTGAGATTTGAGAAAAA